AGCCACTGGTGCTTTGACAATCATGTTTGTTACATTATAATCAGATAAAATATCAACAAATAGGGCAACATGATTGCTCCAAGAAACTGCCAGTGTCATAACACCAAATAAATAAAGTAATCCAGAATTCCATCCAATAAACCATGCTAAATATTCTACAATAAATAAGAAAGAAATCTAATGACCTATAATAATACTTTTGATCGCATACCTCCCAAGGCTAAAACAAAACAAAAAAAAAGTCAAGTGTTCATGAAAGCAAAATACATATATGATCAGTAACTTACCGACATGAGTATATGTATAAACTGATCCAGCACTAGGCATCATTGCTCCTAATTCTGAAAATGATAAAGATGAGAATAGAACAATAACGCCTGCTATAAGAAATGAAATGATGACCGATGGACCAGAATATTTTGCAGCAGCTTTCCCACTTAATACAAATATCCCAGCACCTCAAAAGACCATTCAAAACTCTTATCACATCTATTCTTTTCAACTTTACTTACCAATAGTACCACCAAGACCTATGGCAAGTAATTGATACCAATTTAGTGTTTGTCTAAATCCATGGACTTCACCCAGCTCAATATGTAGCGTTAGCATTGGTTTACGTACACATAATCGTCTGAAGAATACTTGACACATTGATAATTTTTGGTCGATGACAATTCTAGTCTCAAAGTTTATTTTTTATACGTATACCATCTAATGTTTATGCACAAGATATATATACTTCATAGAAGGGTATGAAGATCTATAAATAAAACCGAGGCTGGAAAAAAAACGAAGGAAGTAAACATCATTCAATTATTTTATGATGCGCAAAACATTTTGATTAGTCACCGATAACTATATATTTGTACAAAAAATATCGAATGAAAAATACGAGATAAAAGGCGTCTTTGTTGACTATTGTGTTTTTTTCCCTGTGCTTCTTTCTTGTATCCAGTTTCAGTCGTATATTCTGTCATGTGTATTTTTCCTTGAAAATCCTGAGACAAAAAGACTTAATTATATATTATTTGGACTTTACAAATCACGTTCATGTTTTAATATAGAAATATGCAGATAACGAACAAAATATTGTCGTTCTTACATTTCATTAAATAGACATTATGGTATGAGGAAAATACCTTTTAAATACTCGATTTAGCCAATCAGATTTAATTAGACGTAATTTATCTTACCAAGTGCCTTACTCTTTAGGAAGAAGAATTTTTATTTTTTCGAATGATTTCATTTGTTTCTCAATATTAATCACTATTTTGTCTACAAAGTAATCAATAATTATTCTTCTCATTCGATAAACATTTTCTCGATATCATATAATACCAGAAGAAATAAATCAAAGATTAATTATATAAAAATCTCTCTGTACTTTCTTCGACTTTTCTTCAATAGATTAGTTATTATTGATAACAGATTTTGAAAAAGTTTTAAATTTATTTTAGGTATAAAGTGTATTACAATAAAAAAAAAAGAAATAAATTAATATAAATCAACGAATAAAAAAAATTCATTCAGTCAAGCTCAACATCCAATTTAAGTTTCAATTATTCTTAGATAAATAATGAATTCAAAAAATATTTTAATTAATATTCATAACTAAATTCAATTTATAATTGTAAATTTCATTTATTCGAATTAATCTGTTCGATATCTGTTTTCGAATTAGATATAATTCTCGATCATGGTTATTGTTTAATTTCGTTGCTAATGCATTCGATTGATTTAAACAAAGGGTAATATGATATTAAACATGTTCAAAATAAAGGAATCATATCAAACCGTCGAAAAAAAATTTCTGAAAGTCTAACACGTAAGATTGGTATTGTTGGAAAGAGTGCAAACAACTGAGTATTACTCTAGAATATGAGTGCGGGGTATAGTGTAGTCCCAAGAAAAATTTTTTCAAACAAAATTCCCTGCAAGAAGAACTTTTTTGTTCTTTCTTTTGTTTCTTCTTTCGTTCAGTCATTCACAATGACGTATGTATATATACACTTACGACAGATCGAAAAGAAAAACTTTGTGTACATATATTGAGAAGAATGTATAACATTCTTCACGATGATAATTCATAATTAAAAGATTTAATTATATAATAAAAATTCTATAAATTCTAAGTATTAAAATTAGTTTTGAAATTCAACAATTTATTAGACGACTAATATATTTTCTGTCATCTGAAGCGTTCTTTTGCTTAATTCATATTCAAAAACCTTTTTTTTTAATTTTGTTTTTCGTGAAAATCGCATAAGTGTATGGCACTTAATCCAATCAAGTAGAAGGAACTTCATTTTTTCAAGCTGAATTAATCCGTTCGCTGTCTACCATATGCATAAAATTTGATGAAAAAGGATTATGTTCTTGGTGAATAAAATTTTATTCACCAAGAACATAATCCTTTTTCATCAAATTTTATGCATATGGTAGACAGCGAACGGATTAATTCAGCTTGAAAAAATGAAGTTCCTTCTACTTGATTGGATTAAGTGCCATACACTTATGCGATTTTCAAGAAAAAGAAATTAAAAAAAAGATTTTTGAATATGAATTATGGGGTCCCCCCCTCAGGAATTGTTTTTCGTTATCCATGGGCCGATTTGGCTGAAATTTTCAGGGAATATGTGCGTTGCGTTAACTTAATTTGTTGCAAATTTTCGATTCATAAAATTTTTGTTTTAACGAGTTATGGACAAATTAGTCCTCAAAATGGTGGTCTTCGTAAGGTACCGATTTCTCGGACTGTCGAAGACGTAGAGAGCTAGCGTTTGTTCTAAATAAAAGAGAAGACCTGAGTATACAAATGTATATATCGTTTTTTCGACATTCGACTTTGTTTGGATTTCCGAGACATTTTCCTGCAATAACTCGGAACTTAGCACTTTTTGACATCACTGTTATCTAGTTATCTCGACAAGGAAATCGAATTTCCAAAAAACACTATATAGATTTCTAGATATAGGTCTCTTCTTTTATTTAAAAAAAAACGGCAGCTCGCTACCTCTTCTACAGCCTGAGAAATCGGTTCCTAACTCTCCAAAAAAGTGATTTTGAGAAAACGAATCAACAAGTTTGTGAGATGTGTAAACGGGTGTGAATGTGACAAAAGTAATCAGTGTTATATATATTTGAAATCAGCGTAAAATTCTCTTTTTAAGTGACATAATTAAATAAAAATATGAAACAGTTTTTAAGTTCACTGTGACTGTCATGAACCCTATACTGCAATTTCGTCATGTATAAAGAACTCGAAGCAGAAACGACTACGATGAAGGTAGAGACGGCCAACAAAAAAAGTTAACTTCGAAAAATTATGAGACATATGAGTGGCCGGCCTTGATAGAAGAAATTCTAAGATCCAAATTTCCATCAGATATTAAGAATGTATAATTGTCATAAACAGACAGATGTTGTCTTTTCAGTAGAAACTTTTACTGATTTAGATGCACAATAAACAGTGAAATGCTGGTTTTTTCCTCTTGCTATCTCAGGAAGTACTCTCTAACTGTGTTCAGCGGATGCGCAATCGAAAATAACCTATATATGTTTGGAATGAGCAAAAATGAATGTAAACTAGCATTGAAAATTGCTTGAACCTCCTGTTTTTTTGTAGAAAACGATTCCAAACATCTAGTTCTAAAAACTCGTCATATTACTGTAATTAATTAAAATAGCAGAACGTATATGTATTTCTCATTTGGAATCGTCTACAAGTTTGTTGATCACTGTCACATCCCCGTAACTGAGGAAAATTTCTGAAAAAACCTTATATTTCTAGTACTGCTCCCAGAAAGTCGCTATTTTCATCGCCAAAAGTCATTCAAAGTGCAATAAATCGCACATAATCTGAAAGAGGACACATTGGGCTTTCAGTACATATGCTTATCTCAAAATCGATTTTCTGAGGGAGGGGAGCCCCTTAAGTAAAAGAACGCTTCAGATGACAGAAAATATTTTAGTCGTCTAATAAATTGTTGAATTTCAAAACTAATTTTAATACTCAGAATTTATAGAATTTTTATTATATAATTAAATCTTTTAATTATGAATTATCATCGTGAAGAATGTTATACATTCTTCTCAATATATGTACACAAAGTTTTTCTTTTCGATCTGTCGTAAGCGTATATACAGGATGTTCCAAAAGTCCCCGAGAAAAGTAAATTTGAATATCTCTATTATTTATCAAGTTTAATCAACTGGTTTTTTTTTCAAATGATAGGTACCAGTGTGAAGTTTTTTTTGATACGAACAAAGTTCATAAATACTGTTCAAAGTTATTAGTTTTGGCTGATATACAAAAAGCACCCGTTTTTCGGTTTTCAAAAAATTGCTAGACTGTGCTTCTTTTTAATGCTTTCATTTCTTGCATTCTGTGTGACGTTTAGATTGATCAGATCCTTTGCTATCATTTCTATGCATTTCTTTTCGTATGCCACTACAAAAAGAAGCCTAATGGTGTCAAGTTTGGTATTAACGAAGCTCATGAGACCGTTTTGTGTCACCGAAGGATGACTCATGAACTCGAACAAGTGAACCTATCTTTTGAACTCCATGATCGCCGGATTTGACTCCATTAGGCTTCGTTTTGTAGTGATATACCAAAAGAAATGCATACAAATGATAGCAAAGGATCTGATCAATCTAAACGTCACACAGAATGCAAGAAACTAAAACATTAAAAAAGAAACACAGCCTAGCAATTTTTTGGAAACCGAAAAGCGGGTGCTTTTTGTATATCAACCAAAACTAATAACTTTGAACAGTATTTATGAACCTTGTTCGTATCAAAAAAAAACTTCACACTGGTACCTATTATTTGAAAAAAAATCAGTTGATTAAACTTGATAAATAATGGAGATATTCAAGTTTACTTTTCCCGGGGACTTTTGGAACACCTTGTATATACCTCATCGCGAATGACTGAACGAAAGAAGAAACTAAAGAAAGAACAAAAAAGTTCTTCTTGCAGGGAATTTCGTTTGAAAAATTTTTTCTTGGGACTGCACAATATCCCGCACTCATATTCTAGGGTAATACTCAGATTTTTGCACTCTTTCCAACAATACCAAACTTACGTGTTAGACTTTTAGAAATTTTTTTTCAACGGTTTGATATGTAGAAAAAGAAAATCAGAATGAAAGGATCAAACTTGACTAACAAACTATTACCATGCTTTACAAATCATTTAATGATATAAAATAAAACTAATGGCAAGATAACATAAATTCTATGGAAAATCGAAATGAATACCGACTACACAGTGTATGTAACAATTCTTCATTCTACAGGATGATTGAAAAGTAACTCCCTAATTTAAATTCTTTATTACTCTCAAACAACAAAAGATATCGTCCTGATTTTTTCATCATTTTGAAGCATGGACTATGCCATTTTGTTCTAGATGAAACAAATCAATTGATCATTTAGCTGTCTAAGATGAAATCTGAATTTTGTCTTGACAACATTTGGAAAAAACTTATTATTTTTAATAGTTTAGTATTCTTATATTAGAACCAAGATGTGACTGTGAGCGTGCGTATAGGTGTGGGGTGTGCATGCGGGTGTGTATGTGAAGTTGTGATGTGTGTTTAGACAATGCAAAAATGTTCATCCAAACCCACACACTGACATTCTGG